TTACCTTTGTTTTTTACGGGCTTAGGCAAAACTTATATGCTTGAACTTGCGAGAAGATACGTGAGAATGCTAAATCTCTCCAACAATTCAAATTATTCACTAAATTGAACTGCTTAAAATACAATAGAAAACTTTGAAATTCAGGATACAGAGTAACAAGTGCTTCTTTTAAAGACTAAGCTCAAAGAGGAGTTAGAAATTTTTGAACCTAAGGCTCAAAGTTGCATCGCTCCTTGAAACAAATCAGCTCTCAAACGTGCAATTCATTTGCAATCAAATAAAATAAGACGATACAAGGCTGCTTCGATTAACAATCAAGAAAGTTGAAAAATTGAGTCACTTTAATTAATTAATCAGTCAAAGAGCATTGTACAGAACACAATTCAATCCAGTCACTTATAAAGAGAAACAAATTATGTTACCAAGGACAGAAAATAAAAACTAGTTGTAACAATATCTGCTGCTAACAATCATCAAATCTGCGACGTCATTTAAGTTAACAACAGTTGCCCAAGACCAGTGAACCGTTACACCGTTGTGGGATTTTACAAGAGGTGCCTTTTCTTAGAAATTGGCACCTTCTCACGAATAATTGCGGTGCGACTCATTTAAAATTAAAAGAAAAGCCATTCATTATTGAGAATACCGTGCCTTTGTTATTCATGAAGCGTAGATGCTAATTAAGAGAATTTGTCCCAACATGGTAATATAAAATTTAGTGTTGTAAATAATTAGTGTGATGGAGGTATTCATTTCAATTATGCTCATTAAAAAATTAATTAAGGAAAAAAATACAAAACTTATGAAATATTGAGACTTTATTACTTAATATTTACCTCTTAAAGTTGACAATTTTAAGATTCTAGTGGGGAGGAGGAACTTCTGGATCAATACTTAGATAAACCGTATTAACTCTTAATTTTGATAAAAGCTGCTCTCTTTTTACCGAGCATTGATGATTTTTTCCCCCACGCTTTTGTTGTAGCAGTAAGCCACGGCTATTAGAATGAACTTTCGAATTAAATAATATATTCTACGGTCCTGAGATTCAGTTACAGAGTGAGGCACGTTTGATTATATCGTAACTCAAATCTTTCAGTCTAACTTCTGGAACGAACTCAAAACTCCAGATTAAATATTTCACAATTTAATTAAGCTACAGCAATAAAATAACATCCGCTTTGTAGATGATTAAAACATTTATTAGATACTGCCTTTTTAAAAAGCTTAGAAGATATGCAGCGGTAAGCGAAACTTGTGCTCAACTTGGTCTATCAATTTTTGCGTCGTTTAAAATCTTAGCCTATTTTCCTCCATCTAACATTTAAACTTGCAAAAAGGACTATGACGGGTCAGGGAACTAACCTTGGATGGGAAAGCTTCTGGGTTCGAATCCTGGACAAGGCATGGGGGTTCTTTCATTTTCGATACTATCTGTCCTTACAGTGGGAACAACGTTGGCTCACCTGATAGGGTGCCCCTGAAATAGTGGCCTACAAATCTACCCGGTGAAATGTTAACACAGGTGGGCATTGGGAAATATTTAAACTTAAGCTTACAAATTTTTTAACTTAACTTGGTCCCTCATTGGACCAATATTCACTTGGCTCAATAAGGCTCATATTTTGGCTCAATAAGGGTTCAATGGGCCGATATTTTGCTCATACGGCCAATATATAGAATTGTCCGATTCATCCGATTATTTACTGCCACTTTAAAACCAATATCAGTCCCATATGGAATTGTAAGATTCACCCGATATTTTATATTCATTATTCAGCCTTATATAGGCCGATATTGACACTGCATGGGACCAATATCAAAAAATCTAGACATCCCAATATTGGTTTCCCGGAACATGTTCACATAGGACCCATATTGAGCCCAACTGAGGCAAAGGTATAATAGTCGCTAGGGTTTAGTCTACCCATATCTGCACTTCACTTTTTATGCATTCTATATAGCTATAAACAGACCTGTTAATTTTAAGAACAAAGGCAACCACTTAAAAACGGACGGGTTGTATTCCAACACGTAACCCATTTCCCAGAGCAATATGCCAAACATAAACGACTCAAGATAATTGGACACTCTCTTAAGACAAAAGAGTCTACAAAATGGAAAGTCATTCGACCATGACATCATCAACTGTATCAATGAATGAAGCATCTTTTCAATTCTGTACCAAGTGTACGTACTACAACAACTACACACGTTCATTAACTGCACGCACGTAAAAAATTTCCCATCCTGCGTTTGGAAGGTAGTTAGATGCTGTGACTGATAAGGAATACAAATCTAACGGACGGGAAGACTCGAATATGAATGGAGTCTCTTTCTCAGTGCTTGAAAATATTGTCAATGAATTTTAGCTTTGGCCACCTATGAGAATGTATCGATAAACCACTCGTAGGTCTTGACCTTCATCGGAGTGGTAAATAACGATAAAGTAAAGTGATGCGATAAAGATTATCATTTCAATGAATGAGAAATAAAATTCGAAAGATTAATCAGGGAAAAACGAAAGATGTTTTTCAAAAGCAATCTAGATATTTCTGGTCCAATCAGAATATCAGAAACGCCTGTGTGATTTTACTGGTTACTTGCTTTCAATTTACCATGAAAATATATGTTTCAGGAGCTTTTTTAAATTTTAACGAGTGATATCTGTCTAAATTCGAAAAAGGGAGACGATTGGTGATTTTGAATTTTCTTTTCCCTATCCTTTGGTCCGTCAAAAATCGCTAACTAGCATTATCCTAAGCTTCTCTAAGATTTTTAGATGTGAATTTCTATCAAAACTTTGCCATTTTAAAAAGATTTTTTTCCTCTCGCGTCCACGTAAAAATAACCCTTACAAATGTGGCTAAAATAGGGCATCACTAATATTAATTTAAAAGCATTTATCTCAAAGAAATAAATTCAGGGAAGGAATTTATTGATATTTAATCCTCAAATTAGATCTGTTAAATGCATAATAGATAATTCAGATTACAGTCATTTCCTTTTTTCGTCATTTAATATTCAGACTTTTGGAATTAATCAGCTGCTAGTTTGCGAATTAAAACATTGAACAAATACTATGATAAATGAGAGAAATGTTGATTTAAAAGGTTCAAAAAATTTTGTGAAAAATTAACATAACTAACGCGATAGTGCACTGCTTAAAAACTGAAACTGTAAACACTTAACATTGATGATTAATTTATAGTTCTCTACCACAAGCAAAAAAAAAATAATTTATCGTACCATAACATTTGATAAATTTACGAATATTTTCAATATATATATCTTCTTCAATATATATATATAACGCTCATAAATTTTGTGAAATCCACGATTTATGACATTTAAACCTGCCAATGAATGTGCAAGGGATAACGATCATTTCAGATGTCTGAACATGTAAAATGTAATAAACAATTTCTCAAGCTGCGATTTCAAGGTTTCTTGCCTGTGACTTAGGAAATTGAATATTTCAGCGGCAGCTGTTTAATAACACGCATTGAGTAGGCGTTTCTAAGAAAATGAGTCAGCATTACCCAATGATCGATTTACTTAACATTGAAAATATTTAAAATGTAATCCATAAGACGGATATATTTATTACCACTAAAAACCAAATTCCGGTTAATGTTTTGCCGACTTAAATACGAAATATCGATATTTAACAAAGATTTCGGATAGTCAAAAAGCATATACATTCAGCATATACTAATGACGTTGAAAAAACATATATATTAAATCAACTGCAAATTGCACAACACTGCAAGCTAAAAATTGACATGCGTCGCAATAATCGAGAATTAATGATACTTAAGAAACATCCAGAGTTTAAATCTTAGAATAGAAATTTCTAAATAGAAAACGAAAATTGGAACAAAATTGAATAAGAAAAGTGATATAATTGAGAATTCTGAAGGGGGGAAAAAATGAACATCAACTAGTAAACAATTTAAAAAACACTGCATTAATTCGATGAATTACACAACTTGACCAAGGCAAAAATTGTTTCTTTCATACAGTAAGTTGATTATATGATTATTAAAAATTTTTAAATAAAAAAACATACTTGCAGTATTATGGTTAATTTGGCAGGGATTATCACGAGAAAATTAAAAAAAAAATATGGGCACTGTATTACTTGAAATTTTGATTTACTTATTCTTATTGACAGACATAATCAAGTTAACAAAACTAAGAATTATAAATTAAAAAAAATTTTGCGATCACGAAAACGAAACAATTTTTTTACTCTGGGGAGTACGTTGGCAGATATTGCAGGCAGGTTTACAGTGAATTTGTATTTTTACCGCTAGTAGCCCCAGTGCTGTCTTGTTTTTTTTTATGTACGTTTTCCTATTCAAATAGTAAAGTTCAAATAAAATTTATTTAAAATTTAATCATAACACAAAACACGAATTTCAAAGAAATGAACTTAGTCTCTTTATAAAAAAAAATAATTAACTAATATCTCGATAAATATAAATATCCAGTTTAGTAGAAAACTGAAACTCCCAAGATTTTTAAAAAATGTTGAATAAATCAGTAATTAGATAATACATTCGATTTAAGAATATTTAAAAAAAATTATAAAAGTCAATAGTAAAAAGCTAATTATCGTCTAAGTCTTACTGACTGATTTTACCACATTAATTACCAAAATACGATGTTAGAACAATATTAACTTAAATATTGCAAAAATTACGCTGTTATGGCGATATATGGTATATAATAGTGGATAATACAAATGCACTTCGGAAAAATAATTAAAAATATTCAAAAAAAATAAAATAATAATAAACAAAAAATACACCAAAACTCTCCGTTTTCAACCGGAAGTAATTCAAGAACAGCTGTAGCGGCGACTGGGAGTGCCAGGCGTGAAAGCCAGTCATTCAATAGGATTCTTTATTTATCATTCGAATAAAATTAAATATTAAAAGCTATAGCAAAAAATTTCCTTGATTTTTTCGATAATAATTTAAATCTTAACTTACCCATCCGCCATGGTGCTTAATCCAAGGCAAAAGTGTCTTCGTCACATAACTCGATATCGAATCTGCGAGGATATTAACTAATTCTTGGGCGTTTCTGTCGATACAGTGTATGGCCAGTTCGCTACCAAATACAAAAAAGGCCACAATGCGGGCCCATCTGATACCTTCACCGAAAAGTTCATTAGCCACACCTTCAATTGTAACATTCACAGTATCGACAGTCAAAGTCAGTTGTGAGCACATTTCATTGAATTGTTCTCTGTACTGTGATATAAACTCATCAGCTAACTGTCTCAAAGCAGTGCCGACATCGGCTTCGATTGTACGTCTCGCATTCCGTCGTTTTTCCGGCAAAGGAAAATTATATCCGCGTTTTCTAAGACGATCTCTTAAAAATTCATACACTAAATTTTCCACATCTGCATCGACGGATTCCTTGCTCTGATGAATAGTCGTTTCTGTGTTTATTAAGTCATTCTCCGCCATAATCTTAAGAATAATGTCGGCATTAATATTTAGCAGGACGAAATTTAGGATTATGTAAGCAGGACAACAAATGGTAATCAAGAAATTATTACAAGATACGCACGGATCAATTCACTGTTTTGGAATAAACACAGCCGGCTGTTCTTTACGCAGTTGTATTCTTTATCCTTTCGTTTCGAATTAAAAAAGCGCCATCTAGTATAAAAATTAAACAACTTTCTATGAACTATTACGTGTGTAGACTTATCAGTAAAGATAAAGAATTAAGCAAGGGAAAGAAATAAGATAATCATTTCAAATGCAATTTTCCATAAAATCAAGGTAATTTATTCTTTCAAATCAGGGAAATTTATTTTTGATATACTTGATATTAATAAAGAATTACATCATTATTTACAAATAATTTTAAATTGAACTTAATATGGCGGCTGTATAAATCGAATATTATTTAGAAGATATAATTTGTATAACTTCAAAAATAATGATAATTTCTAACACGTTTCAGAGATTTTGGAATGAGATTTTGAAAACTGACCTGAATGTTTTTGTTTTGAATTCAAAATGGAGGAAATTGTCCAACTGCTTAATTTTATTGGGAGGGTTACTAGTAAATACATTTCAATTCAAAGAAATAGAATATCGAAGTTGAGAATCACAGTTTATACTTAATATTAAATAGTTAAATAATTATAATTAAATAGTTAAAAATAGAATTTTCTTTCTATAATTATGATGAATATGAAATTTAAATATTGAATTAAATTTTACAATTGAGAAAAAAAGAAGTTTTTTGAGAATTTCTTTCGATTTCACACTATTTAGAAAGAAAGCTGAGTCATTGTACTATTGCTACAAGTTTTTAACACATCTGAAGATAAGATCAATTCAGTTAGTAACTTGATTTAAAGAAGTTTGTTATAAAACAGTTTCTTTTCAATACTAGAAAATAATTTAAGTATTTCTTTAAGTAGATTCAATTTATGCTGTAGTCTACACCTACAGCTTAACTTAGATCAGCGTAAAAAAGTTATGTTATATGAAAAAATTTTATTAAAATAATGATATTTAAATTCTTTTTTAAGGGATATAATTGTATGTATAACAAATAAAATGCATAGAAATGTATAATTTATTTATATAATAACTATATACCAATATAACTTAATAATAATTAAACTAATAAACTTTAATAAATAATGAACATGTTGATAATTTAAATTAATTCCAAGAGTAAGAAATAGCTAAATACGCAAAATGCATATTAAAAAATAAAATATATTAAAATATACACAAAAAAAATTTTAAAAACAGAAACCGGAAGTAAATAAATGGAGGACGAAAAAAAAGATTGAACGTCAAAATAATTTTTTACGTTGGACACTTACGGTTGAAAGAAAGATTTTGAGTTCGATTTCGATTACATTCACATATTCGACGTAAAATAAGTTTCATTCATTTATTTTTTTTAACACAAACTATATGGATTTTCAATTTCATATCGCTTTCTACAATTCGGAATCTTAATATTTTTTAACAATTAATTTTGGGATGTTCATCGGATTGAAGAAGTGCTTTTAAAATTTAGAGAAATAAGAAATATAAAGTTTCAATTTAACCAAATTTTGCAGAAATAATTCACCAGCAGTTAAACTTATTATTAATGAAAATTTTAAAAGAATTTCCAAATTTATCGAAAAATTCACGATTGGCAAAATCAAAACGCTATTGTTATATTTGACTTTACTATAGAAATAAAAGATTTAATGACGTAATTTTGAACTAACAATATGAACTGTCTGGTAAGCGAATAATTATAGTACGATTAACCCCTTAATAACAGCTAATAAGAATATTAACTATAATAATATGTAAATTGATTTACTTGATCAAACACTGACTAATTCGTAATTTTTAGTTCTTAATCTAAAATTTTCAACTGACAAACAAAACAAAAAAAAATATTGATTTATAAAATGTTAAATTGAACACTTACCCAACCGCCGTGGTGGTTAATCCAAGGTAAAAGTGTATTAGTCACGTAAACAGATATTGAATGCGCAAGAGTATTTATTAGTTCATGCGCATTTTTTTCTTTGAAACTAATTGCAAGTTCACTGCCAAATATGAAAAAGACTACAATATGAACCCATTTGATACCTTCGCCAAACAGTTCGTTGGCCATAGCTTCGATATTCGAGTTCATTTTGTCAGCGGTCAGCTCCCACTTTGCACACATTTCACTGACTTGGTCGTGGTACAAAGAAGTGAAATCGTCTGCCAAAGATCTCAAAGCAAGACCGACATCAGCTTCGATAGTACGCGTAGTATCACTTGGGCGAACAGGGGGGTCCCAGTCATATCCGCTGCTTCGGAGACGGTCCCTTATAAACTCATTCACAAAATTCTCGACGTCCACATCAGCTCCTTCTGTACCATTTAGATAAACATTCGGATCCAATTCATTTTCCGCCATAATCTAAATCTTATGAATCGGTGTCAGCATCAGAGATGATAGACTTTATAAATCGATGATAAGTTCAATGGAAATTGAGAGCAAGTATTGCTGAAAACATCGTAACTGCACACAATCAAACCGAATTGAAGACTGAAGAGGAGAGGAAAAAGAGAGCATCATTGGTGCCTTTCCACTGTGGCCAAGATCTTGCCAAATATTTCGATTTTAGCGCCATCTAGTGCTGTACATCTACACTTTCTGGCAAAAATCATGTTTGGTCCATTTTAGCAGCTTAACTTAACTATCTTTTCTATAAATCTTTAATAAGTTATGATCTTAGAACATTCTGTGAATCATGCTCATTTTGCATTCAATAATTAGACTATTAGATTCAAAAATTTACAAAATTATGAATGGAAATCATGTTTTAATTTGAATTTTACAATTTTGATCCATATAACCACCTCAGACCCAACGCTGTGTCCAACACATTGGACAATATTAGATACAATTTTATTGTTAAAAAAAATAATATTTTAAGATTCCTTTTCTGTTTATATGGGATTTTTCTGTGTTAAAATATAGTTAGATTGACCCTGGTTGGTCAAAGATTTTTACTACAATGAAAAATTATATGAAAGGTCAAAAATTCGATTGAAGTAAGCGTTTGGCGGTGACTTTTGTGGCATAAAATGTCTTATTTTTTGACTTATTACTCTTAATTTACTGACCAAAATGTTAAGAACTACACTACAAAAATATCCTACACTATGCAAAATATTTTTAAAATTAAGTCTTATCATTTGTATGCAATTAAAAATAATTATAACAAATTAACTTTTTGAATTTGAAAAAAAAAATATTTTGTCACATTTATGAGTTTACTTTCTTCTAAGCTACATATCCTCTTAAGAACCAGAGTTCAATATATTGGATAAAATTTGGTAGAATTTAAAAAAAAATATATATTTTAAGATTTTTTTTTGTTGCTCTATTTGCTTGTTTTTATGAAGTGATTTTCTATGTTATTACATAATTTTAGAATTACAATGAAAAATCATAAGAAGGGTAAAAACTTTTATTCAAATAATTTTTTGAAATGTTTAATGGTATGTAAGCATCTTGTTGTATGAATTCAGTGGATTTTGGTTCATGTCCACAATTTGAAAATATTTCACAATCAACAAAAAGAATGCTAAACTTAAAATTTATCATTTTTTTACGTAACAGTTACAATATCTAAAACAAATTAAATAAGTTTAATAAATTGAATGCATTGCATTAACGCTCTTAATTCCTTTTAAGCAATATATTTTTAAATAAATATAGCATTTTTTTCCATTATTTAAAGCTCGGATCTCAAAAGGATAATTTTAAATAAAAAATCATCGCTTTTTGCATTTTTTAAAAGTCGGGTCTCAAGTGGGTGATTTTAAATAAAAATCGCCTCTTTTTAAATTAAAAATATGGTCTCAAAATGATAATTTTTAATAATCGCCTTTTCTTACATTATTTAAAACGCGGGACTCAGGTGGATAATTCTTAATAAAAATCGCCTCTCCCCAAATTATAGATTTGGTCTCAAAAGGATAATTAATAAAAATCGCTTTTTCTTTATCTAAAGCTTGGGTCTCAGAAGGATAATTCTAAATTAAAAATCATCTTTCTTTTTTTTAAACATTTTTCAAGGATCTGGTCTCAAAATGATAATTTTTAATAAAAATCGTCTTTTCTTACATTATTTAAAGCTTGGGTCTCCGGAGTATAATTTTAAATAAAATCGCCTTTTTTCGCGTTATTTAAAGCCTGAATCACAGGATCATAGTTCTAAATAAAAATCGCCTTATCTTAAATATCGCAAACATTAGTACTAAAATTATTTCCCATGGGGAAACTATCAATTTGTTGAAGTCCCGCAGAAGACTGATCGTTAAGACTGAGTTTCCAGCAGATCACCGAAGTCAAGCATCACTGGCTACGGTCAGTGTGCGGGTGGGTGACCACTTGGATCAGTCTGCGCAGGGACCGCGGGTGTGCGGTATTGGTCCTCGTTAACTTGTTCTACCGTAAAGTGCTCGACTTCGCGTGCAGGTCACCGGGCTACCGAAGCGGTTGTGCCATCACCCCTGCAGAGGATCAAAATTGCGATGGCATGTCTTCAGATCATCCTCGTACCGCTGTGGACTGATCGTTAAGACACGGTTCTCAGCAGATCACCGAAGTCAAGCATCACTGGCTACGGTCAGTGTGCGGGTGGGTGACCACTTGGATCAGTCTGCGTAGGGACCGAGGGTGTGCGGTATTGGTCCTCGTTAAACTGTGCTACCGTAAAGTGCTCGACTTCGCGCGCAGGTCGTCGGGCTACCGAAGCGGGGGTGCCATCCCCTCCGCAGAGGATCAAAATTGTGATGGCATGTCTTCGGATCATCCTCCGGGATGTTTCCCAGACCGTCGCCAATAGCCCATTGTGCAGCTCTAGTGCGACGTAAATTAACAACAACAACAATCAGATCATCCTCATGGATGTTTCCCAGATCGTCGCCAATAGCCTATTGTGCAGAAATAGTGCGACGTAAATGAACTACAACAATAACAATCAATTTGTTGAAAAAGACAGTCGTTAAATAGTATGTAATTTTACTGTTTTTAAGAATATTTTCAAAGTAAATACCGATTTTTCAAGCTATTGAAAGTGATGGGGACCTTATAGGTTCAATTCTAT